TGCACGCCATAGATATTATATTTTCTATAGTTAGTGAAAATAAATGAAAGAAGTAAGGTGGTATTTATTTCTTAATGGTTTGGTTGGAACACGTAGAGAGAGTTGATATAGGAGATCAGGATAATTGATTGAACCATTGAAATGTGAGGTATAGCACAAAAAAGGTTTTTTTTTAATGGGTGATAATGGAATGGTAACCCCACCCGCGCTATCGGTATACACCGGCGGGGCACCAGTGGAGGATGATAGGTGAGGATGAAGCAGGTCAGTTAGCCCATCGTGACGAATTCAACAAGAATTGTTCACGATGGTTTCCAGGGGGAACCACGTGGAGGTCGACCTAATAGGGCGTATTGCTAGCAACACAAAAAAGGTTGGGAAACACTGCCTGTAACAGTCCTCGTAAACAGCTGGCGACGCGTTGATGAAAAAGTTACTCTAGTCATCGTACTAAACAAAAACAATTCCTTAGAACACAATCGGTTGAATTACAAATTCTTGTTGATTAATGATTTTCCTCAAAGCTTAACATCAGACCTGACCTTTAGTCAATAATATGGTATTATACCACCGTTACCGTGTGGTCCCGGCATTTAATAGGCCACCAACTCCTTTCTCGTGTGTGTCGTAAGAGGCGACTAAGGGGGGAAAGGGATTGTTGGTAATGGAGACTAAAAATCCCATTGTTAGCAATATACCCAACCAGGTCGACCTCCTCGTGGTTCTCCCTGGAAACTATCATAGTTAATTCCTGATGAATTCATCATGATGGGCTAACTGGCCTGTTTTCATTCTCATCTATCACTCGTCACTGGTGCTCCGCCAGCGTATCCCGTTAGCGCAGGCAGGGTTACCATTCCATTTTCATCCACCAAAAAAAAAAAATAAGAGGCGGCTAATGGAGGGCTAGGTATGGGCAGCAGCGTCCTTCTTAAAACATGTCCAAAGCCTAACTGCGGTTGCCAACTGCTTGCCAATCGTGTAAATGTCCTTAATAGAGCAATGCAATGTTTGGCGTAGTAAATGTACCGTCTCACATGACACAATTGTAAATATTAGGTACATTTTGTACAGCCATAATTGCAACACAAGGCTCCGTTGACGCTCAATTGAATCTACGGGCTTATATCCATGCACCCGCTTGTCTCAGATGTTCCTCTTCACGAAGCCTAGTTACTTTATGGAGTCAACCTATCAGTGTACTAGGAAATTTGGACTGTGTGTCTCTAAAAATAAAGGTAGGTTTGCCAAATGCATGTAGTTTTTCAACAACTTGGTCTTTGTGTTCGTGTGGTTTCGATTTTGATTTATATTTTTTTTTTATTGGACGACAATGGAATGGTAACCCTGCCCGCGCTATCGGTTTACGCTGGCGGGGCACCAGTGAAAGATGATAGGTTAGGAAGAAAAGGCAGGTCAGTTAGCCCATCATGACGAATTCAACGATAAATTAGTCGTGACAGTTTCCAGGGGAAAACCGCATGGAGGTCGACCTGATAGGGTGTATTGATAACAATGGGGACTAACCTTCCCATTACTCACAATTCCTTCCACCCTCCTTTTAATTTATATTTATTGTTATTGTGCCTATCCTTGCAGAAAAAACCTTTCAGTTTTTATTTTAGTTTGAAATAATTCCTTACGTTTTGACCCGTCAGATACTGTCATTAATATATGGATTGAGGGGGGAAGGGGATTGTTTCATTTAATTTATTTTGTTTTACATAGGTAGATAACAATGGATGGTAAAAGAAGATAAGTGCTCTGTGTATCAACCTCATACAGAGGTATACAAATTTACAAACAGTATATATATATATATATATATATATATATATATATATATATATATATATATATATATATATATATATATATATATATATAGCAATCGACTTTTGTACAAAGTCTCCCTCTGGTCGTATAAGATACAGCCATGTTTCGTAACAAATTGGGAATTGTTTAATAAAAAATATATCTTATAAATTGTATACTCTCCAATCAGTATTAATTCTTATCTGCTCTTGCCTAATGATAGCGGTTGTTGGTAAAAAATTGTACGTGCCTACATAGTGTTTACGCGGGGGAAAGGGATTGTTAGCAATGGAGTTTGACAGCTCCATTGCTAGCAATATGCCTTATTAGGTCGACCTCCACGTGGTTCCCCCTGGAAACCATCGTGAACAATTCTTGTTGAATTCGTCACGATGGGCTAACTGACCTACTTCATCCTCACCTATCATCCTTCACTGGTGCCCCGCCGGTGTATACCGATAGCGCGGGTGGGGTAACCATTCCATTATCATCCATTAAAAGAAAAAACATAGTGTTTACGACATTACTTCTGTTGTAGTCTGTTATTTCATTAATGCTCTTTGTTACAGTCAAAACTCTCATAACCAGCCAAAACTACTATTGACTAGCGAAATCAGTCAAAAGTACTTTTGACCGTATGCTTTAGTTAATAATACTTACATACATACATACATATCTGTCACGCGTGTCTCCCATTAGGGTAGGCAGAAACAATGGAACGCCAAATGCTTCGATTCAAACAAACCTCTTAATAATACTTTTGGCTAAAATAACAGTTAAAAGTACCAAACCTAACTTGTGCAAATGTGCCGTTAAAAGTACTAATAACCAATAATTTTCAGCCAAAACCACTTTTGACCAATGTATTCAGTCAAAAGTTTTGACTGATTTTACTAGTCAATAGTACTTTTGACTGGTTAAGAGTTTTGACTGCAACACTCTTCACTTAGTAGTGGGTTAACTGGTAGCTAGGTAGCTACTATTGGACGAACTTAACATATTAGGATTGTGTCGTATATTTTTTTTAATGGGTGACAATGGAATGGTATCCCTATCCGCGCTATCGGTATACACCGGCGGGGCACCAGTGAAGAATGATAGATGAGGATGAAGCAGGTCAGTTAGCCCATCGTAGTTGTTACGATGGTTTCCAGGGGGAACCGCGTGGAGATCGACCTAATAGGACATATTGCTAGCAATAGGGCTGTCAAACTCCATTGCTAACAATCCCTTTCCCCCCGATTGTGTCGTATTGGTGTCATTGTATTAAATTTACATTGACACATATATTCATATCATTTAGTATATTCTTTTTTTTTTACACCACTGAGGTGGCAAACAAGCATACAGCCCACCTGATGATGATGGTAAGTGGTTACCGTAGCCTACGAACACCTGCAATACCTGTAACATTACTATTATATTTCTTATCGTTTTACGTTATTTTTATTTTTTATTATTATTTTGTTATTATAATTTTCGCCGTTAACTGGCCACTCCTGAACATAAGCCTTTCCCAAGAGGGGTTGCCAGTAGTTGCCACGCTTGGCAGGCGGGTTAGCAACCGTTAGGCTTTCAGATATGTTTTAAGAGGGACGCTACTACCCATGCCTCGCCCTCCCTTAGTCGCCTCTTACGACACTCACGGGAAAGGAAGAGATGGCCCATCCTATGCTGAGGCATACACGGTGAATTTTACGCTATCTATTTTACATTATTTACATTGTATTATAATACTCTTCAAGGACATAAACAGCGTTTTAAATTTGTTTATTTATTTAATACAAAAATTCACAGCTGTTAACCAAATAACTTGCATGCTAAGTCTCTTACAAATACAGCCAATGACGGATTTTAATTATATGAACGAAAATTATAAGTCTAAAGTCTATTGTCGATGATGTGCAACATATACTCTTAGTGTCGTGCAATTATGACAATAAAACGGTGCCCCGTATAGGTGCGAACTGAAAATAATCGCTGAACGCACATCAGTCCAGCAAAAGCTGAGTTTGTACCTATTGCCAGGCATACGGGGACTTCACAATGTTTTTATTTATTACTATACGTATTACTAACATAATAATTGTTTAACTGGTCTGTTTTCATTCTCATCTATCATCCTTCACTGGTGCTCCGCTGTATCCCGTTAGCGCAGGCGGGGTTACCGTACCATTTTCACCCATCAAAAAAAAAAAAACATAATTGTTGAATCGTATTTGTAAAGAATGGCAATAAATTTATTATTGTAATCCCGATGGAAAGAGAAGATTTGATGCGCCTAAACCTAAAGAAATTAAATATTGGTCTTATTCAATCTATATTAGCTGGACCCAAATCAGAAATTTTTGAACCTCTTTGCAAATTATTGATGCTCATTAATTCCTCTCCTTCTATAACTAGGGAAAGTAGATAAAACTTTATTAGAGAAATTAGTTCAAGATACGTTAGGTCTGATATACTTAAAGAAGCCCTTAAAATTAAAAAAAATAGGTGAATATTTTTTTTTTATTCTTTTATTTGTAAAATATTCGACATCGGCACACACGTTTGAAAATATTATAAATTGCCTACGAAGTTTTATATTTAGGAACTGTATAACACATAAACGCTCAAGAGTTATGTTATCTAAAACGAAATTTTAAATATTTATATAAACTTTATGAAATATAAGGATTACAGTATATAATTTAAATGGAAAAAGTCCGTCTTTAAGCTAGGCCCTTTCTGATAATCTTTGATTTTTGTATGAATACATAATAATGTTGTGAATCTAATAAAAAATAACAACTCAATCACTCTGCAATTTTTTTATTATTTAACACATTTACATTAGAGGATTAGATTGGTTAAGGATTTCCTTTGAAAAACATAAGAAAGGCTGAGATTCTCGATCGATTCTGAAATACTTCTAATTGAGGATGTAATGATGCGTATAGCTGTAGAAACAATGCAGCGTTGTCTGGATCTTTTAAGTGTTTGTAAAACTCATAAGCAACTTTATCAATGTTGGCAAAAATTGTAATTTTTTGGTAGTTGAAAAGCGATTCGATCACCTGACCTCTGCAGTTCTGGTGACGGTCATTTAGCATGCATATCGCCTGATCATCCTACGGCGTTGAAGTTTGGGCTTGCCATCGTAAACTGAAGTTGAACGTAAATGTACACAAACAATTGTTTTGCAGGCCATGAGGTTGTCGGAAAGCTGAATTTGCGGCTTCGCTATAAAGCTGCGCCACGTAAGTGCGTGTGCTCTAATCATAACAATTTGTCGTATATTTGTGAGCACGCTATTCTATGTACCTAATTGTTACGTACTTGTTGAAAACCAAATCAATAGCAGCCTTTTAATGGAGCGTATTGCCAGTGAAACTGAACCTTTTCCCAAAACACATAGGAGGCGTATTACGACAAAACTAACGCAACAATTTAGTATTAGAAATACTAAATTTTTTATCGTTTTTCACCCCTTTATCTTTGGGGGAAAATGATCAGTTTTATTAGAAGAACTCTTCTTTAAAATTGATGCTGATGATTTTGGTTTCACCTTGTACTTATGTTTTCTATATATTCTGTACATATATGATATCTGATATTCTACATCATTGTCATGAAATCATTCAGGGCTCTGCCAATTCATGCGCATTACCGATTAACGCTTCAGTTGTTACGTTCATATTATCATTCGATTTGCATGTCCTATTTTAGGAGCTCGGTTTAGCGCTAATATTTGTATAACAGTAAAATAGAAAAAACAAAACTGTTACAATCCGAAACAGGTTTCCTCGTACGACGTCTGTTTACCAAGGCTCAGAGAGGCGTTGATTTTAACGCGATTATGGGGCCGTCTCTATCATTTAAATCTGCTTCTAAAATTATAATTAGAGGTTAATAGAAGTATGAAAGGTTAGACTTAAAACCGTCTACAAGCGCAAGTGTTCATGTAGATAATATAAACAATCTAAACAGCTTGTTTCCATGTCTATTTTTTCTATGCTTGCATGTTGTTATCCATTAGTTTAAAGAGTAATATATGGCAGTTAATTACAGCGTACAAAACCTAAAATTCTTGGTGTTATAACGGTTTCGAAGGAGGGGCTGATAATTTTAAAACCGTTCACGAGCTACAAGCTCATCCCAAGTGGCCATTTGTCGTCTTTTATTGCACTAGGTGTTATTTTGCGGAAGTCCATATCACCGGTTGTTTGGTTAGAATTATTTTGTTTAATTCCGCTAACATTAGTATGTGTGCGACTGCCAACACTCGAAGATTGACTGCTATTATTGTTACCACAAGGTCTATAACCTTCCGTTTTTTTTTCGAATTTAAAATCACCCAGATCGTGTAATATCGACTCCAAAAATAACTTTTTCATTGAAATTAGCTGTTTATTTTGTTTACTGCAAAAGAAGAGGTAGACTATAGGTCTTTATATTTGTTGTCTGCTGACGGCTCTGAATAACTTATCTGAACTGTGTTCTCTAACGCAAAGGTCACATTTTCTATTCGTAGTAGTCTACCTAATGCTTACGTCTACGTCACTAATATTGGTACGATAATATCAAATGGATATAATTGTACATATGTAAACATATTTATCAAACCATTGATGAAAACCTTCATTGTTGTTTTGTCATTATTTTTATGTAAATATGCCTTGATTTAACTATTATATATAATTAAATAAAAGAATATATTCCTGATCACAAATATATAGATAGATACTAGTTATTGTTTCCTAGAAAGATTACAATAGTAGATTTATTTTTACCAGGGAGAGACTTTGTACAAAAGTCGATTGTATGGGTACCTCTGTCTCATTCGTGTTTCAACCATGAAGCACTTGTGTTTTTGCATGGCTGTGTTTCGGTTTGAAGGGTGGGATATGGCGTGAATTTACTGGGTACATAGGAATAACACCTGAATCCTCAGGAATGGCAACGCATGGGTGGTATCATGTGCGAAACAGTATACTCTGTTATGTCGATGGTACTGCTCATGTCTATAGGCGACGGTTACCACTTTCCATCAGGTGGGCCGTCAGCTTGTTTGCTATTCTAAGTTGTATAAAAAAAAATTATAAATACAATTACAAGAAATTATGACAGTGAGAAAAGTAATATATGACGATATAGATGCCGCAAAATACAAGCAACTTTGCTTGTCAATATTTAGCCCTAAATTGGATGCAAAGAATTTAGACCCAATTTATAACTGACTTAAGTTCAATTTCGATTCGGTGTTCCTACAAAATGTTGAAACGTCTTTTGGTGTCAGAGCAAAAAATCCCATAATTTAAGATTCGGTCCACGAAAAATTAAAATGTCAATCGGGGCTTGAAGAGTTCACTCTACTATCTCCACATAAAATCGTTAAAGCTAATGAATATATTGGCGAAGATATAATAAGTATATACAATCGAACTTAAAAACGCGTACGTCTTATCAATTTTTTTTTTTTATTAAAATGAGATGAACTTGCGATACAAGAACATGTTTCACAAGGTGATAGCAGTATCGGTCTCATACGATCGCGTATTTTTTTTTATTATTTTTACATACAAGATGGACCTTGCCGACTCGCGTGACCCGGCGACCGCTAAATCCTTTCGAAAAGTCAATACCAGCCACGACTTCAAGGCCACAGATAATGCCTCCGACTGGGTCGGATGTGATGGAACATATAGAGATATCTGTAAGCTTAATATTTGTGTATATGTAAAGATATCAATACATACGTGTGTATTAAATAACGTATTAACCACATATATCGTGTTCTAACCTAACCTAAACTCTAACGAGAGGGGGGGAAAGGGATTGTTTGTAATGGAGACTGAGAATCCCATTGCTAGCAATATATCCAAACAGGTCCACCTCCACGCGGTTCCCCCTGGAAACTATCATAATTAATTCTTGATGAATTCATCATGATGGGCTAACTGGCCTGTTTTCATTCTCATCGATCACCCTTCACTGGTGCTCCGCCAGCGTATCCCGTTAGCGTAAGCGGAGTTACCAAACCATTTTCATCCAAAAAAAAAAAACTTGTATATATGTAAAAAAATATCAATATATACATACATATAAATCTTTTACGCCTGTCTCCCATTAGGGTAGGCAGAAACAATGGAACGCCAAATGCTTCGATTCAAACAAACCTCTTTCGCTTCTTCCACATTCATCAATCTTTTCATACACGCTCGCCGGTTACGGGTACTTCAATACATACTTGTGTATTATTACATATTAACCACATATATCGTTTTCTAACCAAAGTACGAGTTAAGAATCTTCAGAATCGGCGTGCATGTTATTATGAAAGATATAATGAAAGAGCAAAAAGTAAAACAAGTATGAGTAGAGGTCTAGTTTTTGGTTCTTTTTTGCCTACCCCGCGAGGAACTTCGCGTGATGATAGATATATTAATATTTATTTATTTATTTATTTATTCTTTATTGTACACAAAAAAAAATATTACATATAATATATATAAAATAAAGGTGTACAATAGGCGAGCTTAACTCTGTAAGAGTTCTCTTCCAGCAAACCCTGAGTGGAAAGGAGCATTAATTATTTATTAGCGGGCAGTATGCGTACAATAATAGAAGGAAACATTATTGATGTTTCTATTAAAACATATGAAATATGTTGACTACATAAATAACTCATACAATTAAAATCAAAATAAATACATATCTGTATACATATACATATATACATAGACATAAAATACCTCTTTACATACAAAAAAATAGGTACATATACATACATAGACATAATAAGTTTATGAGGACAGAAGATGCTCTTTTAATCTGCTCTTGAATATATTCAGCGAATACGTATTTATCCGAAATAGTTTTGGATAGTTGTTAATTATTACCTATCGGAATTTCTGTTAATTACATAATAATTAACAGCGTTTATAACGAAGTATGACATAGTGCTGCATTATCAGACAATTAAAAAAAAAACCATTACTATCGAGTTTTAATTGTAAAAATAACCGGATGGGTTTGTATTTGTGTAGAAATTGTTCGACCATTTGATCAGACCTGTATCCGCGTCATGGCTTATTATAATTAAGGGCCCTAATAGGTTCTCGAAACAAGTCGAGCATCCTCGACAAGTGTACACGACAAGTCCGGTTATTTGAACAATTTTCACTATTTCTATGGTTTAAACTGTTAATCAAAACTAACGCGATAAATTGTAAAATAATTGTACAAGCACTTAAATCTCCAATGAAAATATTTACATTCATATATATATTTTTTTGATGTTTTCAAATTATTTTGTTTTTCGCACTCCAAAATAAAAGTAAAAATTTAATTAATTTGTTTTAATTTAAAAGATGAAAACGACTGTTTATAGCGTTACTTCCTGGATTTTTGATATAACATATAAAGTTTTAAGCAATTTATTTATTTATTTATATAAATAAATTGCACAATTATATAAGTAAGTGTACATATAGTGGACTTAACACCTAATAGCGTTCTCTACCAGTCAACCACTACTAAAATATGTATTTTTTTTTTATACAACATAGAATGGCAAACAAGCTGACGGCCCACCTGATGTAAAGTGGTAACCGTCGCCTATAGACATGAGCAGTACCATGGACATAACAGAGTATACTGTTTCGCCTATGATACTCCCCATGCGTTGCCATTCCTGAGGACTCAGGTGTTATTCCTCTGTACCCAGTAAATTCACGCTATATCCCACCCTTCAAACCGAAACACAGCCATGCAAACACAACTGCTTCACGGTTGAAACACGAATGGGACAGAGGTAGCAATCGACTTTTGTACAAAGTCTCCCTCTGGTGTATAAATATTATAACTACATATTACATACAAGTATCCCTCAAAAGTTCTTGACTGTAGTATTATTTAATCCTAAATATATAGTATAGTAGTATACTGTAAATTTCCGCGTGGTAGGTACTTACCTACGTACCACGTACGTAAATCTCAATGGAAACATGAAATATATTGGCTATATTAAAATTGTTGTTCGTTCGGTTGACCTTCACACTGGCAGATCTGCGCAATGATTGCTTGCACTCAGTGCGGGGCACAGCGAGTGTAGGTACGTGTAATTACTGATACTGATATGTTTATATTTGTATGTCTACATAATACACTAATATTATAAAGAGGAAAGATTTGTATTTTTGTGTGTATGTATGTTTGTAATGAATAAACTCAAAAACTACTTTGCTGATTTAAAAAA